ACCCATTCACACTATGAAACGATGATGATGATGTATGTTCAGGGCTGCATTACAACATTGATTGTTCGGCTCACTGGTATCTAAGCCTTCTGCTGTGCTATCTTATACCTTGTATTGAAAGGTCGGTTCTCGTTCTGGTCTGCACCTATACGGTATGCAACAGCAGAGCTCCAGTGTTGCAACGGGGAGGCTGTGGGTTCAACTTTGTCAGCCCAAAACTTCCCCCAAGCACAATTGGTTGGTGTAGGTTGCACCCCACGTACTTGTCTCAAGCCTGGCATAGTGCCTTTAGAGAGTAATGACCTCAATAGCTCAGTGGGTCGAGGTCCTATATTGTAACTTGGAAGTCCTGGGTTCAAGTCCATAATATGCTCATTCAGCATGTCTATATATATTGTTTGTCATATCAGCTAGGGATGATCCTCTGCACGGATTTGGGTGGGGAGGTGTGCCTCTCCTATGAAAAAGTTGATGTGGGATGGATGCTACTCTCTTTTGGGCCGGAGAGTGGTAAGGGGTACTCTCGATGGTTGGAGACCCATTCTAAGGGCCCGTAGGGGGGTGGGTTATTGGCGGTTGGTCGGGGTTGGTTGATGAGGGTCGACGTCTCCACCATATCACTGGTCGATTCTCCCTAGCGAATAGACAAAAGCAAGGCTCATTAGAAGCAGAAAGCAACCACATACATCCATACAGACTACGATATCACACTAGCTCACATAACCAGGATATTCAACAAACCAACAGTAGCCATATATGAACCACGTCGTGCTAGGTTAGTGCTTAGAGGTAGAGGGCTCATAGGTTAGACCTTGGTTAGCCAACCATTAGACACTGCCTATGGGTTCCCTCAGTGCTCATGGGACTACCTCTTCGCGCCTACCTCCCGAGGTACCCGTATAAACGAGGTTTGTACGCTAGTGCCTCAACTGGGGCTGAATAGGGGAGCTCATTCAGCGTCAGTGCCCGCATGTGACGCTCAACCTCACGCCCTGTGCTGCTTTCCGATCGAAGTGTTTTGGTTCACAGAAAGGCGCGGAAAGAACAACAAAGACGGGGTGTGCCAAGGATTTTTGGGAAATTTGAGTGAGGGGACACAAACAGAACTTGGATCCCCCCGTGTTGGTCCAACTTTAGGGAGAAGGGGTCCGTCGCCGCACGGGTTGAGGGAAGGAAAAGGCGCGCACGGGGCTCACGACGATGGGAAATTCAATCCAAAAAGTATCGTTGTGCGACCCGTTGGCCTTCGTTTCGAATGAAAGGGGGAGGATACACACGTGGTATCTCGTTTTCGAATGAGGTATCGTCGGCATTCACTACACAACTTTGAATCCGACGTGGAGAGCCTCAATCCAATTACTCTCTCCTTGTGTTCGTCCTCGCCACGTGTGCGGTAATGAAAGCCCTTGGCTCTGTAACGCTCGGTGCGGTGACAGTCGCTGCACAAAGTGTTGGGCCAGTGAGCCGCCACGGTCAACCACGGGATGACGATCAACTCATTAAACAACAACAACAACGAGTAAGGCGGAAAGTGCGTATCGTTGATGAGCACCGGGTCTCGGGTGGAAATTAATAACGCCCGTTGATCTTAGCGACGACTTCTCATACTTCCCACTCGCATACACATGTCCTTTCCTCGTTGTACGGGAAGGGGCACGGCTGGGGTACAGGAAGCCGACGCCCAGTAGGATTGGGGCAGTCGGTCCACATGGCAAAAGGGCAAGGCGCAAAATCCTTCCTAATCGGGCATCATTCATTCAACGAACTACTCAATCTCGCGTTTCATCAGGTCAAGCAATCAACCTTCCCGTCATGCTTGCACAAAGTCTCAGGCACAATCCACTTTATGCACATATCAAAGTGAGGGGAGAGAAATCACCATAATCCATCCATTATAGCAGAAACATAACAGAAAGATAGTGTGAGGGAGGAGAGACGTAGATCATAAGAGAGAAGAAATCAGAAGACAGTTACACAAGAAAGTCTGGTGATCTTGACGAGAAAGGCGCATCCGCCACGAAATTCCACGGTGACCGAGGCTATGCATTCACTCAACTTCCGATTACGATCCTCACAGAGGCACTGGCGGTCCCTGTCGTCACATACTACTCCCACCATAGCGATCGTCACCCCGCCGACTCAGTCTCGGCATAATCTTGCCCGAATCCCTCAGTTCGTCGGGCGATCTAGCACACAGCCGGCAAGACTACAGTCAACCCGTCAGGACTTTTTGACTCGCACTTTCACTCGTACCATCTAGCCACTGCTTCCCGAAAGTTGGCCGATAAGTTGAGAGAGAACTTTTCGGGCGCGCTTGCGAAATTTACAGTTGCGGAAAAGGAAATAGATGCTAGGAAGGATTAAGACCAAGGTGGGGAGGTAAGGGAAAGCTCGGGGATAATCGTCCGAGAAAAGCCATATCAATCCTTCGGAGCCCAGTCCTAGTCAATCAGAATCGTCGTGTAACAAGAATTTCCTCCTTACACAGCGCATCTCCTTGGCTAGAGGGGAGGAGGAAGGAATCGACAGGGTATTCCAGTGCAAGGATTAGAGCAGGGAGAAGAAGGGCGCGAAGGATAGCGCGAAATGGGATCAAGATTCAAATGATCAAGAAAGAGAAAAGGAGCGCAAGGCAAGGGAGAGATGAAAAACGGTTAAAGAGAGAGGAGCGAGAGCGCGAAGAAGAGAGTGTCGAAGGTGGCGAGGGAAGCGGGGAGGGGGGGGGAGGGAGGGGGAGGGGGGGGGAGGAAGGTCGCATGCATGGCGCCGACGCGAAGGCAAAAAGGGCACCGAAACAGTTACAGCTCGTTCAGAGTCCTATGTTAATTCAAAATTGAAAAACACCGGATCCACGCGTAGAGTGAACGTGGGAAAAAAGTCCTACGCCTATCCAAATTTACACGAAAAATTCCCAGAGTTTTCCAAAACAAAGTCGAGAACAATCATGCACAAGAAAGGATACGTCAGGTCCCGCTTATTCCGGAATACCTAACCGTCGAACCAAATTCCTAGCGTGCTCGCTAAGGCGCACGCATTTCCCATGTATTTCCTGAATTGCAAAAAGATGGAACTCCAAAAAGCGACCCCAAAATGACGAAGGTCCGGAGAGGGACGGGCCTCTCTGATAATGAACAATGCGCATTAATCCATGGGATGATGGGAACACAAAAGGGGCCTCTTCGACCTGTTTGCAAAAGACAACAAATTTTCGAAGAGAAGAAAAAAAACAGTGCCTGCTATTTATAATGAACGAACCGCTTTTTTAGCAGAACTCCCAACCATTTTACCGGACAGTCCAAACCTGCTAATTACAGCAGATTGGAACACAGTGTTAAACCCAGGTCTTGACTCGCCGAAAGTGGAACCCATCCGTGCAGATGGCCGGCTACTTCACGCACTAATGGAATCGCATCAGTTAATAGATGCCTACCGCACACTTCACCCAGAGGCACAAGAGTACACATGGCATGGATCTCAAGTGCCACCGGTCAGACGCAGGTTTGATTTTTTCCTAGTCAGGGGGACACTCTGGGATAGGTGCCTTAAGGTGGAAATAGGCACTGCCTCGATATCTGACCACTATCCTGTAATAGCTGAGTTGGATATTCAAGATCCCTCAAACGCTGGAAGATCTCCTTTCCGCCTGAACATGGAACACTTGAAAGACGAGAAGTTGGTAGACTGGGCAAAAAGACACTGGGAAAAATGGCAGGAAGCACACAACTTGTTTTCTGACACAGAATCTTGGTTCGAGACTGGACTGAACATAATGAAAAATTACTTGGAAGTATTTTCACGAATTAAGGCGGTGGAAGTAAACAGAGTAAAACAAAAATGGATTCATAGGATAAAGCAGGCAGAAAACAACTTCGGCAAGCACCCAATCTCAGATGCCTACTGGACGGCAGCCCGGAAAAGAGCGCTGACTGAGTTTGACAGCCTCCAAATCATGCAACAGGAGAAATGGAAAGCATGGCTATACCAAAAAGGTATTGTCACTAACGACAGAATAAATCAAGAGACTTTCAAAAGGTCGATACCGCAGAAGACCAAACCCTTGATTCGAGGATATATTGACCACTAGACGCCCAAACGACTCGTTTGACACGGACCTGAGACGATCCTCTCCATTTTGGACCAGAACCTGTGCACAGTTACTTGGGGCAGGCAGACGGGACTTGGATCGACCCTTTACAACAGAGGAAATCAACTATGCAGCGACAGCGTTGATAATCGACAGCGCCGCCCTGTTCCGCTGCCGGACCATCTCCAACACCGTCAGGACTATGGTGAAGAGGACGTCCTCGCTTAGAGTCGCTTTCACCCCCCTCCCCGACTTCGCCTGCACCTTCCCAGTCCATGGCCATGGGACCATTACCCTCCGCCATGCCCAGCCGCCTCCACCAAAAACTATAAAAAAAACAACAAATACTTCACTACAGACATGACTGCAGACGTGACCGCAGACACATTCTTGCCGGTGTAGAAGCTATGGCGGATGGCTATCACCAAATCGACGGCCGCACCTTTGCAGAGACGTCTCACGTGCCCTGTGAAGAAGACCGTGTGGGACACTTTTTTTTCCCCCCAATGCTTTGGCGTAGAGCCGTTGGCACCGGCACTGCTGCCTAGTCTACCCCACCTCCGGGCCACCGCCAACGGCTCTACGCCGAAAACTGATAGACCGTAGTAAAACGTTCTATTCAGCCGTAACAAGTGCTCTCCAAACCGTGCGAGATGGTCGCCCATCACATGGCTCTCCAACCTAAGTAACCTTTGTGGCGTGCCTGACACAGTGGAATTTGCTTACGCTGGTTTTGGAGACCATTGTTCTACCACTGGAACTATTCTCCTCACAAAACAAAGTGTGATTGGTTTATGGAGTTTGGACCTATTTGTGTGTATTTGGTCATTAGAGCCTGGGGCTACTTTGCATACCAAAGCCCCTGGGACTGTGCAACGCCTCTTGCATGTCGCCTGTCGCTTGTCCACGAGGTGTCACCCGTCGTCGCCCAGAAGGGCCACCCGGACAGACCAGGAACTGTCCGAGGACCACACCACCCGCACGGGGCTTTCAAAAGTACTATCCCGAAAAGGGAAGTTTCTCCTTCTTTTTTCTTTTTTTTTTCTTTTTTTTTTTTTTTTTTGGGAACAAAGCTCCAATCTATTCGTGGGGAGCAACACGTGCTGGGAACCGGGCCCAGCGTCCCATATGGAAATTTACACAGAAGTGAAAAATTTTGAAGTTTTTAAGATACCGGGCCGTTACCCGGCTGTGGCTAAGAAAAATTAGAACTACTAACATCAAACTACAAGCCATCAACCCTCTTTGCCTCCCTCCGGCAAGACTTACTGCAGCAGAGCCACCATCTCCGCTGCTGCTGTACCCTAATTCCATCCTACTAGCTAGCCCTCCTCACTAATAGGACACTTGACATCCCACCATCTACTTATCCCACTCACCTCAATTTTGAGAAATTCGAGAAGATTTGAGAAAAATATAGAGAAAATTGGAGAAACGAAAATCAGAGCTCAACCGCCACCAATCCTCTGTTTCCTTTTCGGGAAACCGAGCTCCGCGGACCCCCCTTGCAATGCGGACGCTGTGGGATCCCCTGCAGATGAGGCTGTCCGTTGGCGGCGGATGACATCCGCCACGCGTGGGAATTCCAAAAATCTTACGCGCCGCTGTGGGGTCCCTCCCTAAGAAAGAAAAGAAAGTGCTCTTCTCACAGATGGTGTCTGCTCCAGGCGGGGTGTCAGATGTCAGGGTATCATTCACTGAACATGGTTGTGGCACTCAAGATGACTGGATGTGAGTGGGCACACAGACCATATTCATTGACAATAGTCTGAGGCTTCCTTGAAATAGGCCGCAGGGCAGTTCATGGACAAGAGGGATGTTTTTTTCTGATTAGAAGGTAGGGCAAATCTGTTTCTCTGCACGAAGGAGAGGTGCTGCCCTCTCTTCTCCCCCCTTCGTCGTGGCAGGAGGAAAATAAGAGAGCTGCTTGAGTAGTTTAATAATAAGTTCGCAAGTTATCCATGTTTTCTTAAATGTTCCAGAGCTTTTTCATAGTTCTCAGTTTTGTTCTCAGCCGAATGCCAGGTAATGGCCCTGGTATCCTGAATCATTTCTCGAATCATTTGTATACTTCTATATGGGACGCTGGGCCTGGTTCCCAGCACGTGTTAAAAAAAAAAAAAAAAAAAAAGGCTGCAGTGCACCCTGTTCTGTTGCTCTGACAGAAATTGTCTTTGGCAAAGGAGGGCAAAAGTATCTTCGTACACCATTTGCTGTAGGTGAGGGGATCGAACCCTCCCAAACCACTGTCTTTTTTATTTTTTTATTTTTTTTGGGACAAATGCTCCAGTCTATTCGTGGGGAGCAGCACGTGCTGGGAACGGGGCCCAGCGTCCCATATAGAATTACACAAGTCATTTGAGATGCCGGGGCCATTACCCAGCTTCGGCTGAGAATCAATCTGAGAACTACTGAAGAAATTCAAGAGGATTAAAAAGAGGTTGAAAAACTATGGATGACTACTGACCTCTTTTCAAATGCTCAGAACCCCTAGACTCCCAAACAAAACTCTCTAAAACTGTCCAACACTGTCTTATTCCCTGTCGGGCTCTTCCAGGCCTCACACTCCCACTCGGCTAGGTTACAGAGCAACACGACTCGCCCCAGCTCCGGCCAGCGTCGTCCCAACAGCAACCCTTGGTTGTCCCTTGGAATGCCCACCCCAAAGCATCCCCAGATCTATCTACCAGGCCTCACGCTCCTGCAGTCAGCAGGTTACAGGGCAACACCCCAGCACCGGCCAGTGTCGTTCTGGCATCGAACAAAAAGAATGTACCAGTATCAAACAGCCTAAAGCGAGTTGCTAGAACCACAATCAATTTCCATTCGCCTTTGCCTTCACCATGAATGAAACGTGCGTGATTTCATGAACCAAAAAACTTGGTCTCTATTTCACGCATGTTTGGGACTGCCACAGGACCCCCACAGCAAAAACGAAAGAAAGACCTACCAATGGGAGAGCAATAAAAAACGTTCTTTTCCCGGGCTTAATTCACAAAAACAGGCTACCGCTGATTTCCTGCCAAATCCACGATGCCTGACAGTCACACACCTTAAACACTAATCCACATACACTCCACATACATCGGTAACGGGATCTCGCTCCTGGGCTTTCTTTACCTTTCTTTTTTTTTCACAAGTCACTGGCGGTTGTCAGCAGGGCGTCAGTTAGGGGAGGGATGTTTGGCAGTTGGATGAAGATCCATCTGCGCAATCTATGCCAGCCCTGCCAGGATATTTATATTTTTATTTTTAAACCACCCCCCCCTTTCTCATACGTGGGGCCGCCAGCCTCAAATTCAAATTCAGCCGCCATGTGCCGCCGATGAAAATATTGATGGCGGCGTGGTGGCTATTTTTCAGGAGTAGGCTACTAGATGGCCGTGGCCGACATATGGGAAAGGTACCGGTGGTTTAATAGGAGACTGCTTTTTTTTTTTTGTTTTCCCTACAAAAAGGGCCCCAAGTCCCACTTACGCTGATTCTTCTTTCCTGGCCGTCGATCTTCGTAATCTATGGTCAGGAAGTGAGAATTCGGGTAAGTGAGGCCTGGCCCCAGGAATCCCTCAACAATGCAGCCCCATAAAACAAAAACAAACAATACTGGGGGCGAAGCCCAGCTCAGAACCTGGCCTTGGGATATATATAGTTCTACAGACAGAAATGGTCAACCTCAGGGCGGATATATATAGTTCTACGGACAGAAATGGCCAACCTCAGAAAATGGCCTTGGGATATACATAGTTCTACGGACAGAGATTCGTATGTTGTCCAGTGATTGGTGGGCGAAAACAGAATTAAAAAAGAGAGAAAAAATAAAGACCTGATACCCAGATACAGATTCTCCAAGGAGAGGTCCCACTGACATGCAGGATTGGATTGACCGCCTGAACCTGGATGGGCTTGTGGACAGGTGCAGGATATTGCGATCCTGTGGATACTTGCCCGTAAAAATGTAAACCACACAAACCTAGGCCACTTGCCCAGCCAGACCAAAAAAGAAAAAAGAAAAAACATATATATATATTCTATTTGTGACGATATATATATATATATGTATATATACATATTGCGAAATCGTCGGGTCTTTTTCTCGCGACGGCGAAGGCTCGTGATCACCCCCGGCGACGGCGATGATGGTTTTTGGATTGGATGCCATGAAATGTGGTGCCATGTCCGTAGCCCTCTGTGCAACAGCCGCTGCCAGACTGAAAGTGACTTAGCGACGCTGGCCGACGCTGCAATCGACCTTGTCCGACATGTCATCTTGTGTCTCGGATCGATTCGAAGTTTGGGGCCTCTGGAGCTTGTTCCTTCTCGTCACCGAACGTTCAGCACCTGCACAGAACACAAAAAAACTTTCTGATTGGAACATCGCGGGGTCATCGAGTTGTCGACTCCCACATGATGATTACCGTGAACAGCGGCATGATGGCAAGTTCGCCTCTCCGATGTGGGTCTAATGGTGGATTGCGTGAAATCTGCTCTCAAAGATCCACACCGGAGAGGGGGGTCAACAATCGACCACTGCTTGCTTGTAAAACATCATATGATGTGTCGATACAACCGACATTCAGAACTGGTCGGTGAGCATCTGGTGCTACGCCAAAAAGTTCATCAGGCGGCCTCAATATTCCCCCGCAATTGCTCATTTTGGGGTTCTCGCGTCATAAACTCCCTTATGATGACTACAGTTAACAACGGCGGGGTAGCAGGTCCTCTTCTCCAATATGGATCTCACGATGGAGTGCGAAACTCTGCTCTCAAAGATCCACACCGGGAAAGGGGGCCAACTATCAACCACTGCTTGCTTGTAAGACATCATATGATGTGTCGACACAACCAACATTCAGAACTGGACGGTGAGCATCTAGTGCTACGCCGGAAAGTTCGTCATGCGGCCGCGATATTCCCCCGCAATTGCTCATTTTCGGTTTCTCGCTTCATAGACTCCCTTATGATGACTACACTTAACAGCGACATGGTAGCAGGTACCCTTCTCCGATATGGATCTCACGGTGGAGTGTGAAACTCTGCTCTCAAAAATCCAGACCGGGAAAGGGGGTCAGCTATGAACCACTGCTTGCTTGTAAAACATCATATGATGTGTCGATACAACCGACATTCAGAACTAGTCGGTGAGCATCTGGTGCTACGCCAAAGAGTTCGTCATGCGGCCGCGATATTCCTCCGCAATTGCTCATTTTTGGGTTCCCGCGTCATAGACTCCCTTATGATGACTAAACTTAACAACGACAGGGTAGCAGGTCCCCTTCTCTGATATGGATCTCACGGTGGAGTACGAAACTCTGCTCTCAAAGATCCACACCGGGAAAGGGGGCCAGCTATCAACCACTGCTTGATCTTAAGGCATCATATGATTTGTCCATTATATCGGCGTTCGAAACTGTTTGGTGAGCATCTGGTGCTACGCCAACAATTTTCGAACAAGACCGCGAGGTTCCCTAAGAGTGTTTTTGCCACCCCACATCACAGACCGCCGACTGTTTGGCACTGCGAGAAGGCTGTCAATTTCTTACGACGCGGAAGACTCGTGATCACTTCCGTCGTCTGTATGTGTGCTGATGGTGCTCGGCATTGCATACTTTACGCACTGGTGGTGT